CATCAGCATTTACTCATTCTCACTGTGCGTTTTTTCGATAGTCCCGTCAATTGGGCCACATTACGACCCCTCAAAAAAATGATCCGGTGTAGCTTAAAATTTTACCACAGATACTTCAGACCCTATCTTAAGTTCATGTTTTTTAGTGTTTTTGATTTCAATTTTGGGCGTGAGAAGGTTTTTAAAATGAAAATCCGGTTTCTATATGGGACTTTCGGTATCTTTCGAATATCTCGAGACAGAAAAAATACTTTTTGAAAAGAAAAAAACGAACCTAAGATAGAGTCTGAAGTATGTATGGTATTCAGTACTAAAGATATCTAATTTGGCTGTGTTCACGTGCTAGTTGAGCAGTTCTGATATTGTGAATCGCTTCTTTTTCGTAGTCATTGATCTAATCGAACACTCGTCGTTGTGCACCATGATCACCTGTCATTTTGTCTTATACACGAAAAATATACCTAGACCAGTCAATATTTGGAGCCGAGCATTTTCGAAAAGTCTGTTTTATTCGACTAAATTATGTGAGTAAACGGTCCATATTATGTTCCAAGCCATTATGGTTATCGACAGATCTGTTTTCAGCATTTTCGATCTGTCTGTTCTTCGAATTGACAGGACATGGCATTTTTTGGCGCATAGCTAACAACCATAAATATTTATAAGTTTATTACAAAGTCTGTTAGAATTAAGCTTGTTAAGGAGTATATGGTGGTGGTAAACTGTAGCGAGGCGGTGGAGTGAATGGCGGCGGCAGGATTTCAGTTATTGCATCGTCATCATTAACTTGGTGTTGCTCGTCTTCTGACAATTCTTGAGTGAAATTCAATGTATCTGGATGTATCGCGACGATTGTTTCATTTGGTAAAGCCGGATAACACTGTAATGTACCGTCTCCTCGCCGTATTACGATCGTATTTTGTCGTGGTGTACAACAAGCGTAACAGCACACGATATAGAAACAAAAACCTAAAAATATTCCAAGTATGATGATATTGTCTGACATATTGTCCGATGACGATGATGAATGATTTATTATTTTACATTTGCCTTCTAACATATTGCACACTTTTGTTACACATTCATGATTAGAAATACACCTTTTACCGCCAGATTTGAGCGGTTGACATGTATAATTTTGCTGACTATCACACCATGCGGTATTTCCACATTCACGCTGATGAATATGATAACCTGAACATTTTTGTCCGAGAGGAATTTGTAGTTGACATATTTTATTTATATTGTCACAATAGTATGCACAGGATGTATCATTATAACATGAATTGACACTCAAATCCATAGCATGAATAATAGAGAGTGACGAAGAGATAATTATAGTCCAATTCAACATGTTTTTAAAATTTAATATTGTTTATTAGTATATATATATATAATTCTCTGACGCATGTTTATGTGTAAAGTACGTCATATCTCACTCACCTTTCAACGCAATAATTGAAAGACGCACGTTTCATGTGAAAAAACGAAACAGCAGTACAGCATTTGTTTCTTTTAGTTTTCTGACTAAAAACTTTTCTGAAAGGCTTTTTGTTCAAAATAGACTGTGCCCTGGATTTTCATAATCTGGTTCGATTTCTAAAGTAATGTATTAGTTTTTGGTCTCATTTCGAGAAGATTGAATACCGTTTCATTTGAACTGTCTATAAAAATTGTTATGTCCTTGGTTGATTAACATAACATCCTAGTCTAACAGTTTCATGCACAGATCAAACAGCTCATGCTCAAGATTAACCGTCTACTACATCAAAATGTGATATATTTTAAAGAATTATGTCACTTTGTCATGCATTGAATGTCACCTAGGATTCTGCAAACGAGACATGACTAAACATCCCCGAAAACTCTTACGCGTACTCGATCTGGTCGTCCGCGCGAACATGATGAACTTAAACAACAAATACAAGACAAAATGACAGGTGATCATGGTGCACAACGCCGAGTGTTCGGTAGCGGTGTAACCAGGTTTTCGGGCTAGGGTGGGCTCAGCCCCTGGAACTCTCTAAGACTAGTTGAAAACTGTGTGAATTTCTTCCGTCTAATTGAGTAGGTGTATATATGCTCATGCATGAAATATTTGGACTGTTCAAGATTAGCAACAACAGTCTTCTCTGGCGTTTTCGGACGTGCTGACTGACGTGTTACTGAATTAGTTAATTCTCGTGAACTTTCATCGTCTTGATCGTAATCAACATTAGTAGAAAAACAGCCTACACGCGTTGTTCTTTGAATTTCTCCTTTACGACAATAGAGTAGCTGAACTTCAGCTTTTTTAAGTACCTCTTCTAAAGACATACTGTCTGGATCACCTTCATCCAAAGAAGAAGGTCAGGTCTCAATTTTCTGAGAAAATGTTTCTTCAACAGTTTTTCTCGCATTCTAGGACTGATTTCAAGATTAAAAACCTAGATATCTTTGATAGAAATCTGCAGCCGTTTCATTTTGTCTCTGAACACATCGACTTCGTTCGAGTTTCAAAGCTTCGATACGTTCAGGACTACGAAAACAAGACACGAACAACTTTTTGAACTCAGGCTAAGTCTCCGGCAACTGATGCGATTATGAAGCTGCAGATAACAGTCAAGAGCTACACCTATCAGCCAATTATAGATATTTTGAAGTAACTGCGAATCTGAAGCTGAAAAAGAGTCCGCATCGTTTGTTGATATTCATACAAAAAATTATTCGACTGTCCATTCGCTTGACCACAAAGGCGACTAACTGAGTCAATCACAGTGACCTGTAAAGTTGCTGCCTCTTCAGTCACTCTCGATCGAGATGAAAAACTAGAAAAATTTTCTTTTCGACTTTCTTTTCTTTCGGAATTCTGATGCTATCTCTTTTCCATCAAAATTATAGTAATGCAAATAAATACACTAAATTATATTTTACTAGCTGAAGTACCCGGCGTTGCCCGGAAAAATTCAATTTTTGCATACTGAACATATTGGGAAACGACGGTCTCGTATAAGTTATCGACCTTAATTGTTCCAAAACACACTCGAATTAACTGTCCCTTTTCAACTTTTTTTGCTTTTTTCCCATTTTAAAGTTTTTGAAATATTTTTATCCTTTCAATATGTTTTGTTTTTGTTTTATGGGCTTCTCTCATTTAAGAGAGACTGTATGAGAGACTCTTGAACACGCTACATAAAGTTTACCTTGAGAAAAGCAAGAAGTCTCTAGGTTAACATCAGCAACCTTGAGTGATTGTCCTCGAGCTTTCTTGATGGACATCGCAAAGGCAAGACATACTGGAAACTGCAGACGCTTGAATTCAAAGGGCTTGCCAGTAGGAATGACGGGTATTCGTGGTATGAATACATCCTCATCCTTTGCGGAGCTTGTCAAGATTGTTGCTTCAATAACATGAGGCATCAGACTTTTCACACATAGTCTTGTGCCATTGCGTAGTCTTGGTGCATCCAGGTTTCTCAAGAGCATAATGGGAGAACCAAGTTTGAGCACCAAGTTATGTGGAGGCTCGAGAGAGTTAAGAAATTCAGTGGGATACTAAGATGAGAAACACTATAGTGAATATAGTTCTGACACAAAAGAACTATAGAAAAACCGGCCTATATATGTATAGAATACCGTGAAACATTCCGAAACTGTCATCGGATAGTGCGATGTGAAAATTCCAATGACGATATATGACGCATCAGAAAGAATGTGATACATCATGCGCTTGATGTATGTTGAAAAACAGTCGCTTTGATGAATGCTTTGAAAAATCGCTTTGACAACTACTCTAATAAATCCTTTCGGCGAACTCCTTGGATCAGTTCTACGTTAGTTTAGGGTTAAAGAAAGCTTCTTTGTAAGTTGTTATCATTTTGAAACATTTTCATTGCAAACTTAATCAAAAGATTATTACCGACCATGAAAATATACTAAAATCCGGTTGATCAGCAAATTGATGCGCAAAGAGGTAAAAGCAGGGGGAGGATACTTCAAAAATCTCCCAAATTTTTGAAAAATCAGAGAAAATTTGCTTCGGTTTTTGGAAAACCGGGCGGGGAAGCCTCATCCACTCCTCTCTCCGTCGCGCCGATCCCGTCTTGTCCTTGTCCTGGACGAAAGAGTGTGCCATGCAAAGTTTGGTTGCACTCACTGTTACAGGGACCAAATGCATAAAGAACAAACAAACAAACTTTCTTCTTTATATATATAGATAGATAGATAATTTTAAAAGAATACTCAATATAGATTAAATGTAAGATTTAACTATAAAATTATAATATTAGACTTTCTTCTTCTTTTGTACGATAAAAAAAGAAGATGAAGATGAAGATGATGATGTGAATCCCTCTTCTTTTAAGATGAGAGAAGAAGAAGAATTTTGAATTTTGAAGTTGAGAATTTAGAAATTTAGAATTTTGAGGAAGAAGGAAAACTGATTTTCTTAATGAAAATCTCGATACGAAGATAACGTGTCTCCACATTTCGCGTCACTATGAAACATAACATAATATTAAAAATCAATTATTAACTGAATTCACTCTCTCTACACGAAGAGTGCATAGAAGAAGTTTCTCAAATGTTTTAAGAGTAAGAAAATACAATCCGTAACGGCAAGCGGCCGTTACAGAGGGGGCTTAGACTACCGCAGGTGGATCTATGTCTATAATGAAGTCGCTCATCGAACCTTAAATTGAGACTGAAAACATATCTTAATGTTCATGTTTTTGGTTGTAATCGGACCTGTAAAGATTTAAGGCGAATTACGATAAAGCATTCGATTTCCGTCATCGATCTATGCCGAAATGCAATATCTCATTTGATATTTGAATCTAAGTTAATTTCGACTTCATTTATTTCAACGAGTAAAAATTATTCACTTACAGAAATATACAGTAATACACTAATTATTATCAAAATTGAAAAGCCTTATTCAGTTTATGCAGTCACAATAGCGTCAGATAATATTTCCCGTCATAAGAAGAAGTATTGGTTTTGCCAGGAGTAAGATTTCTAATAGAAAAAGTAGAATATATTAATAGTAAATACAATATACATTTGATTATTCAGTAAATTTTACGATTTTTTGAAGTACGTTCATCTCATTCCTTTCTCTTTTTCGTTTTCTCGTTCTTGTATATCATATACCGTTTATATAAAAACTTGGAGGAAATTTCAAAAACATATCGGTATCGAGGTACACTTGAAGAAACTGAGTTCGTCGAGTTCACATTTTAAATAAAGATAGCGATTGGGGATAAGACACATTTTTTCCTAAATAAGCACTTATTCGGACGAGTTTCATTCACGAGAGAGCACTAGCGGTGCCACTGCCCTGTTTCTTTCCAGAGTGATGGTAAAGTGGTATCTTTTATTTCAAAAGTAAAGAGTAAAGATATAATGCATATCTTTCTTTCCTAAGACAGATATCACTGCAAAAAGAGATGCATTATTTCCTTACTCTTTGTTATTGCACCGAAAAAGAAAAACTTTTCTTTTGTTAATACAAAAAGAGGTAATAAAGAGAAAGTGTCACCTCGCGCGAGCACAAAAAATATTGAATCTGCACAAAAATGATATGAGATCTCATGCACAGTCTATTTCCAGCACGTTGAATCATTTTATCATGCGTCTTTTGATTTATTGGTTCAAACGAGTTAACTAATGCATTTATTCTTTAGCCAATACCCACAAGACGCAACGAATTGTTTATTTTGTTTGAAGCCATTTGAAACGCCCCAAAAGTGGGAGAAAGAATCTGAAATTCCTAAATGGGATTAATTTATTATATAAAGAACCAAGAGCACCTGAAAATTTATGTTTTTTTTGTGTTTTTTATTCCATAATTCAGAAACCGTAGCTTAGAACAGATTTGATTTATGTGGATTTCTACCCTCGCTCAGCACATAGACAAGTGAGTTCTGCAGTGTTTTAATCCCCTCAGCTTTTGGGCGACTCTTAAATGGCTCATCGCGTGTGTTCTATAGCAACCATTATCTGTATAGATAAAAACCATTAAAAATTAGCTTTAAAATAATCTTCGGCTTATTCTGTTTGTTATCTCTGATGACATGTTGCTGTTTGTTTTGCATGACTTAATTCAGGAGAAAAATGGCTTGCAACTTCGTTAACCGTTTTTATTAAAAGTTATTTACTGTAAACTTTTTAAATGACTTTTAAAAAGTACAGTTGTGTAATGTATAAATGTAAAGAGATTTGTATTGGAAATGATGAGATACGATAAAGTTACGACAGTCGTATACGGTCGTTTGTGATCAGTCAAATTTTGGAAAAAAAGAAAAAGATTGAGAAAACATATACAGCCGTATTATCTGGCGTAAATGGTGGTATATGCCCGTATTTCCTTTCCTGAGCAGAAAATCGCGCTAGTGAGCATTACTTCCAGATTTTTCCAGTCACAGTTTTGTTATCTACTGTTGATCCCACTATGTTACTCGGACTTTTCTTCGAGAACATAGTGCAATCAAATTTTAATGCGTTCATCGAGCAGACAATACTTTTGTCATGTTATAATCTCTAAAGTAAAAATCAGTATGAATAGAGAGTCAGGTAGTAAATTTAGGGGATGTACACAGCAAATTCAGCTCTCTGTTCCCTTATCTAGGTAGGTCTCATTTTCGCTAGTTGAATAAAGTGCTTTATATAACCGACACTGCTTTTCATCGCGTTTAAAATGAGAAAAAAACTTTGGTATCATCAATCAAACACGTGGCGAGAGTGTATATATATATATACATTTATATCACGTGGATATGCACGTGGAGCAATCTATCCTTTGGGTGTAATCTGTCCTTTTCTAACATTTTTCTTCAAACCAAGAAACATGCTTTCTATAAACGTAAACGTGTATATATATACTCTCGTGTATGATTGACGATACGAACGGTTTCTCATTCTAAACGGGACATAAAACAGTGCCTATTATATAAGGCACTTTATTTCTTAAAGGAGAATACTTTTATACTCGAACTTTTTGTAGTTTATATGGGCTTTCTGAGCCTTTTAACACTTTGACCGCGACCCACGAGTAACGCTCGTTGTTTATTTTGTTCTTTATACGCTTCCCACCAGTAACGCTCGTGGCTCAGCACCATGGCTTGAAATTATATTTCTGAATAGAATTAGCGCTCTACAAGTACATCATGCAGTGGTAGTAAAGCGTTTACTGCCCAATGACTTTCACGCTACCAGAATATGGGATTATTTTTGTAAAAGTATGTCTTAATAATGAAAGTATCTTTAAAAACCTGACTATAACTATTCTTTTTCTAGGCATATAGTGCCATATCAGCAGTTTCAAATTTTGATCATGCGCTAGAATATTTACCACCCATAGAAATAATAACTCTCTATAACATAAATTATGAGATAAATGCACCATTGATGTATCTATTATATGTTAGACAAAATCAAAAAATAGTTACTGTAACAAGTCATTTAACACTGAACAATTATTGTCGGCAACCACGATAATTATTTGAATTTGATAAACAAAAGCCTGAACGAATACGTTAAAAAAGTGTCTGTATTATGGAAAGGTTCGATAAAGGCATGAAGACATTAGAGTTTGAGAAAGCAAATAGATTAGTTTTCTGAGACTCTGATTTTGAATATGTCAGGATTGTAGGTCATATACGATAAATCGCTTCTTCTATTCATCGTACGAAAATAAACGACGATTTTGTTGTTGACTGTTCAATATCGAACGCAAACGATCTAGTATCAAATTAGACGAAGCAGAATTATTGATTCCTGTCGATATTTGTTTTACTTACACAAGAAATATTCGTCGTCGTCAAGGTAATTGTTAAGCGATGAACCACGGCGCTTAGAAGCAACTACATGGAGATATAAAAAATATTACAATATATACACTATGAGCAAAATAATCAGCGCTTACGAAAGGATAGTAAATCATCGTTGAGAGCTTCAGTTCTTTTTGCAGCCGAATAGACCGACGTAATCATCATTATTATAACCAAAACAGCCATTATTAATTTCACGCTAGCCATCAATAAAATATTTTCCGATGTTTGTGAACGACTTTAATAGTGTTGATCAAATGATGTGTTGTACTTTCTTGAGATTAGTGATAGTAATATGTTTGACTTTTTTACTCGAATCTCTCATCCATGACTTATTGATTTAGCATTCCTTTAAGGTTGGTTTTGCACTTGATTTATTAATATATTCTTCACGTGAGCTGACAAATATCACGATTGGTAATTTGACGGTACATTTTCTACGTACGTTTCCGATACTGTGAAACGATGTATGATTTAAACAGAATATTTTATCAGTATGATGACAACAGATTGCCTTCTTGCATGAGACATACGTCATGTGTATAGATGTATACAAGCTATATATATATCAGAAGATACATGTGTGTAAATCGATTTTGGTTAACATTCTGGAACAATAAACCGAATGCAAAAAAAAGAAAATCGATGCATTTCTTTTCATTGAGTTTACAGTTAGAATATCATTATCTCATAACTCGAAGCTATAACCCAAAATAGTCGGTTCCATCGTGAAAAAGATTGTCTGTGTTCATGGCTATGTATTCAATATCAAGTGTAATCGTATATCAAAACATATGTGTAACGGCCTCACCGTGGAATTTATATGTTAATACAATATATCGCATTTTTATTTTAGTTTAGATATGTACATTTATCTTCCTTTCTCCATTCTGTCGGTGCGGGAGAAATGACAAGAAGTTAATATCTTTTTCATTTTCCGTTCCGTATACACATAACAAAGGTGAACATGATGGGGTCGTCATCGTATAAAGGTATTATTTTTATGATGAGCAATTTAGTTTTACTAATATTTGCACGGGAAAGAGGAAAAATGCTATTGGAGTTCAAATCAAATTTTTCCTTCATTCGTGTTCATCAAAGTGGTTCCATAAGAGATTTACTCTTGGATACAGATGACATCAACTATGTACAGTCGGCAATTAATTTAAAAGATCCACTGGATCCTGTGTTTGAATATACAACATTATTATTAGTCGGTTTATTGTGGAATCCTGATCCTGTTCAGGTAATATATGCTCATGATATCTTCGAGCTCTCTCTCTCTCAGGTTGATTTCGGTTGACCTGATGACAGATAAATGAACTTTTTACTTTGAAAGAGATGAAAATGCCGATTATGGTGCAGTAACATATTTCTTTCCTTATGTGTTTCAGGTTCTATTAATTGGGCTTGGTGGTGGTGTCATTCCTCGAACAATGCGTATATACTATCCCCAAACCGAAATGGACATTATCGAAATTGATCCAGGAATTCTTCGTGTTGCACAAGATTATTTCTTGTTCAAAACTGATTCAAAAATGAATGTCTATATTGAAGATGCACGAATATTTGTAAAAGATTATCAACGTAAAAGGTATTATGATCTAATTATCAACGATGCATTTAACCAAGATGAAGGTGAGAGTTATGCATGGTTTAAATGATTGCTGTTTGGCAAGAACAAATGTATTTTAGGTACTCCGATTCAATTAACTACGGCGGAATTTCTCATCGAATTGAAGAATCTACTCAAACCTAAAGTAGGTGCTCTCATTACACATCTACGTTCGGATGATCCAAACTATTCGCGTAGACAACGTACACTTGCCTCTGTTTTCAAGAAAAATTTCGTTTTTGGTGGTGTGAGAGGTGACGCAGTTGCGGTGGTATCAGCAGATGAACTCAAACAATATTCTCGACGAGAACTTTATCGTAAAGCTAGAGAACTCCAGAGTAAAAGACAATTTGCATTCTACTTCCCCATAGAAGCACTGAAGATCGAATATGATCAAATGTGTGGGAATAATAACGATGTATCGATCATAAAAGACGACGAAAACGCACTTAGATATATAAGAACAAAGAAAACTCTATTTTCTCCACATTATTTTGTGGCTGTACTCATTATTTTTTTAATGTGTTTGGTTCTGTTTTACTTGACACTGAAATTGACGTTTAGACGAAAATGTTGTTGATTAGGTTTGGATAAAGTTGAATTTATTTGTGGATGTATGAATGGACGACTTACATTTAAGATCAACCAGATATTCGCTTATTAAAGCTTTCACCATTTTTGCGTGTGAGCGTCGAAAGAAACACCTAGAATGATTACAATGCTGTATGCAAATTCAATTGGCTCGATGGTGGTATACGGTTCCTTAGATTTCTACGCTGGTTCTTCTAACCCGAAGGCACCAGTATAGGAGGGGGTGAGGGTTAACATAGTCATAGTTTAAAATTTATCGTATAAAGTTTTGTAGAACCATGCATTTCCAAAGCAAAGAACAACAAAATGCACCGCGCTTTCTTCACGAATGTTTCTAAATGAGCATAAGATTCTCCTTAAATCTTTAGGTTAGACCTAAGGTGATCGTTGAATCAGTTTTCAGATACGTAAAAGTTGAATCGAAAAACCAGGTCGTTGCCATTGTGGTCGACTACGACAATATTATAATAAAAACGCGTGTAGTCCGTAATTACATTTTAATGTGGTGTATGCGTTAAAGTTGTCGTGTAAAAAAAAAGAACATTCAAGGTGCTAAACTAACTTATTTACAAAAAAGTAAGGTAAGAATAGAAATGAATATCTGTACAAAGTAATAATTATTCTTTTTAACAAGATTTACTAGAGAGTTCTGACATGCAAGATTGAAAATGTTTAACATTGAATGTTAGCAGTATACATATCTGAACGTACAACATAGCATCCTCCATTCTTTTTATTAACACCAAATACATTATAAATCTGACTTGTTTCGTGTGAATATTCATATTTATGTACTCTATAGATTCTATTGTGATTATATCGTTTAGTATTTTGTTCAGGTACCAACACATCTGTTGGAGGCGAACAATTAAGTTTATGCTTACTAGAATGTACCTACAAGTAGATAGCTCACAGCATTCACCCAGAATGACAAACGGTTGATGATTCTCTCTTTTGCGCACACACAGACACACAGACAGACAGACATTTTGTAAGACCCTAGACTAAAGTCAAGGGAATATATGCAAACAATAAATGAAATTATGACTTTGAATTTGAGAATGAACACGAACTATACATCTATCAAAGAATAACAATACGAAGTCTGCTATTTAAAATGTTTTAAAAAAGCGTGCATGTAGTGTGTTAGACGCACTGACACCGTTTAAACTGTTTAGAAGAATACAAACGACTACTGGAATTACTCAGAGATGTGCACAGGCAAAAGGATTTTCTGCATCGTTTTATTCATTTTTTTCTACCATTCATACGATACTCTATTCAATTTTCGTCTTTAAGACTGACGAGCGTGAGTTCATTATTAAAATGCTGTAATGAGTGAAACTGATTAGTTAATCGCTTTTCCATTTTCCAGTATAATCAGGAAAAATTTATGCCCGTTTGAACAAATGATTAGAGGGCAATAGGTGACAATATTTCTATAAATTTAGAACTGTAAAATCAATAGGATCAAGAATATCCTTCTTAAAAAAGTTTTGATGTTGGTGTATATCTTTATTGATTCTGATAAAGAAAAGGTCAGCGGTCAAAGACCATTATGGACCTAACAATAATAAAGATGTTGTCCGTAGGTGCTCACAGAAGGGAATTATGGATAAGAAAAACAAAAGAGTAACAATATAAAAAACTAAGAAGTCAGGCTGGACGACAAGGAAAGGATGAATATCATAAAATTGGAAATTGAGAACTACTATGTCTGCAGTTATTCAAATCTGTTCGTTTGTTGAATATACAAGAGGACTGCATCCAGTATACATGTTAAAGTATCATGATCAAAGTTTAAGCCATTCAGTAACAAGGTGTCAACTGAGAATGCAGGCATAAAAGAAAGTTTTAGTGAAAGATCTTGTCGTTGAGTATCGTATAGGGAACAGTGCAAAAAATAATGCTGGATATCCTCCCTATTATTTCCGCAATTACATTTAGGTGAACCTGTATAGTATCTGTAAGTTTTGATGTTGTAACTTTTATTTTTATTGTAAACAAAAGAGTTTATTTTCCTTCTGGATAATCTTTGATTATGTGAAATCTGTAAGCTGAGCTGACTACTGCTGATGAGAGTATAGTGTAGAAGATTCAATAGAAGCAGAGGTCTTTGTGCTTACTAATTTAAAAAGAAAGATGATACAGTTTTCATTGCTGCTGCAGAAAATATCTGTAGTTTAATTTCATGTCTTTTATTAATTAAACCAGTAATTTATTGCCTCAAACATCAAATTCGCGGTATTAATAAAATTCTTCATCTTTTCTGCCAAAACAACGTGAGATTGTATAATCAATGAAATTATTATCGTTCCATTCTCACAAAAAGATGACAGTAGAAAAAGAAAAGTTTATAATTTCCTATTCTAGTGCTGATAAACAATAAACTCTAAGTAAACTGTCATATTTTATATCATTTTAGTCAACTTCTTATAGTTATTGTGCAGAGCTAAACTCATAAAACGCGCATTTTGACATCATAAATTACCAGTGGATATCTATTAAAGATGTATTTTCAAACCATCACTCTTTCTCTTCACGGATTGTAGTGTAAGCGACTTATACACAAGAGAGTTGTTCAAGAAGAAATGTGGAGAGAGATTTTAAGAAAATCTTTCAAATGTTCATCCCATGAGATTCTCTATGTTATAAAATCTTCTTACAAAAAATTTAGATTTGTTTGAATGATTTCGTTCGAAGTGAAAAACATAACAAAAGTGCGTTTGACGTTTAGGAGAAATGTGGCATCTGATGCTGCAACTGCATAACTCCGACATCATCAAGTGTCGATGAAATTTCCTCTTTGGTAGACTAGTCGATGTATTGCTCTTTAAAATCTGGGATAATCAAGCGTTCTTCACTCCAAATAATTTATTTCAACTACGATAATTGAATAATTGAATTTTGAATAATTTCCTATCCGTGTATTGATGCGTACACTCACAACAAAATATTAAAAATAAAAGTCATCGACTTGTTCATAGATCATCGAGGTCTGTCAATTGATACAGTGAAACTCTATAGTATAAACATGAATTCATAGTATCAACTTATCATACCAATATCCCACACAAACACATTTTCACGTTGTCACAGTATCACCGTATCATAGCATGACTTTCATAGTTTCATAGTATCACAGTAATACTGTGAATTTCGTAGATCATAGTATGATTTTCATAGTTTCACAGTATCACAGTATCATAGTATTATATATTATACTATGACTCTCATGGTTTCATACTCTATTCACCTAAAAAGATATAGTGCAATGTTGCTTGTAACTCACTCTCGTGCTGCCGCCCCGCGTGCGCACCCGGGTAGCCAGGTATGATAGTGTGACCTATTGAAAGGGTATTGTGATACTGTGACACTGTGAACTTCATAGTATTACTGTGATACTGTGAAGTTATGAAAGGCATAGTGTGATACTGTGAAAATGTGTTTGTGTAGTATAGGTATGATAGGTCGGTACTATGAATTCATGTTTATACTATAGACCTTCACTGTATCAATTGACAGCTATGAGAAAAAGCGATAAGGTCTTTTTACTTTCCATTTGCGAGGCCGAAAAAGTGGACCCGAACCCCGTTCTTCGGTCTCGCAAATGTGAGGATTTTTGGTGAATAGGCGTTTGGTTCTAGAAATGTGTTGAGACAAGTTTCTTATTCAGTTTTTGATGCTGAATCCAAAAAACTTTCGCTCGGCTCTCGAAACCGTAACTCGAAAAAGGATGGCCTTTTTTTCTGCAACCTTATTTCTTTTGAGTTTTTGACACCTCTCGAGTATTTCGATTTTTTCGACCCCAAAACAGTTTCCAAAAAACACGAAGAACACATATTTGTGATCAACTGTTGAATTTGCTTTATTCCCTTGACTGAAAGTCTAGGATCATACAAACGAAATGTCCGACCGGGCAGTAGACTAGTGACATCTACATTCATGTAAAACAGCGAGAGAACGTAAAAACACGTAATTTGTGTTTTACTCAGCACGGCAAATCCATTTAAAGTGTCCCACGTTTTACTAAAATTTTTCCGCTTCACTACACATAGGTCTCAATCTTCTCAAGGACGTCAAGGTTCTCTTAACTCTCAGAGTTCTCAATGTTCTCGTAGCTCGCAATTTTCATAATCTTCTCATATTTCTCAGTGATGTCATAGCTCTCAAAGCTCTCATAGTTCTCTTAGTGCTCACAGCTCTCAATCTTCTCGTAGCTCTCAATGCTCTCACAGTTGTCTAAGCTGTCATAGGTTTCGATGTTCTCATAGTTCTTTTAGTTCACACAGGTCTCAATGCTCTCAATGTTCTGAATGTTCTCATAGTTCTCAACGTTCTCGTAGCTCTCAATGCTCTCGTAGTTCTCCATGCTCTCATAGCAATCTTGGTTCTCAATGTTCTCGTAGCTCTCAATTTTCACATTCGTCTCATAGTTCTGAATATTGTCGTAGCTCT